TTATTATTATTATTATTATTATTATTATTATTATTATTATTATTATTATTATTTACACTTTATTCATTTTGTATCCCCCCATAAGCCCCTCCCTCCTCCCCTCCCGATCCCACCCTGTTTTTGTTTTGTTTTGTTTTGTTTTGTCTTGTTTTCTTGTTTAATAACTTAATGCATTCCTCAGACATCATAGGAGCTAGCATAGGCAGGCTGGCATTAACAATAAATGTCTGGGTTTTGCACTTACCCGTGTCAAAATATATATGTAAACTTTAAAACACTAACCCCCTCCTCCTCCTCATGGAGTTTCAGATGGCTTTTAGAACAGTCCTACAGGTGGTCACCAGGGATCTCATTTTCCTGCACATCAAAGGGGTATGAGTGTCCTGACTTCCCAGGGCCAGACAAGGCAGACCATTGCCCATATCAGAGTTCTCTTCTGCCTGGCTATCACATGGCAGTGAAACACCTCTCAGTTATGTCCCAACATGTGTTTCAATGTATCAGGCTTCTGGGTCATGTTCTAGGTACTGGGCCTAATTGCAATTTCAGCATCTTAGCAAAACTAAGAGCATTCACATCTGGTGGTTTTGTATTTGTTTCCTAAATAGAATCATATTCTATAGCTCAACTTAGGTTGGAGTTTACTCTCTACCTTAGGCTGGCTTCAAAACTCATGGCAATCCTCCGCCCTCAGCTAAGATTATAGACATGAGACACTATGCCAGGCTTCATAAACATACTTTGTTGTTTTGTTGCTGCTGCTGTTGTTTCGGTTGATGTATTAATTGCAGTATATATGGACTTAATGTAACAGGACAACACTAATTATGAAGTACAGATTCCACTAATCAGAAAGTATATCTCCATTGCTGTCCTTTAAGTAGCAATTAAGATTCTCTAGATGCATATAAGATATTATCCCAAAATTAAAAAATTAAAGAAAAATTGTTCAATGCCAACCAGAGGATGGGCTTTAAAGAGATGCTGAGGAGCTAATAAAACAGCAAAAAAGACAGGACAGGATATATAAAGGATACCCAGGCTAGGAAGACAGAACAGGATGTGAGAAGATACCCAGTTTAGGAAGACAGACAGGATGTAGGAAAATACTCAGTCTAAAAAGACAGGACAGGATGTGGAACTTTACCCAGTCTAGGAGGACAGGACAGGATGCAGGAGGATACCCAGTCTAAGGAGACAGAACAGGATGTAAGAGGATACCCAGTTTAGAAAGACAGGACAGGATATGGAAGGATACCAGTCTAAGGAGACAGGACAGGATGTGAAAGGATGCCAGTCTAAGGAGACAGGACAGGAAGTGGGAGGATACCCAGTCTAGGAAGACTGGGTGACAGGATGTAGGAGGATCCTCAGTCTAAGAAGACAGGACAGGATGTAGTGAGGGATCCTGAGGACAGGACAGGATGTAGGAAGGGATCTTTAAGACAGGATAAGATATAGTACAGTGAAGACAGGACAGGATGTGGGAGGATACCCAATCTGAGATGACAGAACAGGATGCTGGATGATACTCAGTCTAAGGAGAAAGGACATGAGGGAGAAGGATCCCTAGTCTAAGGAGGCAGGACATGATGTTGGAGGACACCCAGCCTGAGACAACAGCAATATTACATTTTGACTAATTTCCGCTTATGTAGAAGCAATGTGGTACCTAAAAACTCGACAGTCATATAGAAGATATGTTGCCCTGTCTATTTGTAACAAGCTTGTTAGAGTACCCTCTGTTGCATATTGTTAGCCAAACCAAAGTCACATCTGGGAGGCTGCGGATCTGTGCTGTCAGGCAAAGAATGCTATCATTCTGATATTCACTAGGCCCAGAAGGCTGTGACACTCCCGCAGCATGTGTCGTTCAAGTGCTACAACAGAACACTACAAATAGGACAGCTTAGAAAAATAAACGCCTATCCTCTCATTTCTGGGAGCTACAAGTCCAAGGGTGGGCACGTTCCATTTCCCTCTGAGAATTTTGGGCAACTCCTTCCTGGCCAATTCCTAGCTTCTAATGAGCAATAGCAATACTTCAGTGTCATCTGACTTGTAGATTCATCGATCCGTTCTCTGCATTCGTCATAACATGGTATTCTCCTCATAACTATATCTAATGGTGTCATATAAGGACACCATGTTGCATTTAGAACCTTCCCTCCTCCAGTTTGACCATTTCATAACTTGATTGCCTCTGCAGACTCTCTCCAACTATCTCAGGTAGAGATGCCAGCAATTAGAACATGCATACACATTTGTGTGAGAAAAAAGTCAACCCACAAATATGCAAAATCACTCATCAGTGAAGACAGCAAAAGCAGGAGAGAAAGTCCAGCATGGCACAGAACACATCTAAGGGAAGGCTCACACTACTGTTGTTACAAACTATAACAAAATATATCATTAAAAAAAGGAATTAGTAAATTTAAAGATTGGGCTGAAAAAATAAAGAACAAAGTGTTTCTTATCTTTTATCCACAGACCTAAGTGTTTTACAATCTTGATGGGAGCTCAGACAGGAAAAAAATAACTACATCTTCAAAAAGGTCAAAGTGAAGTGTGTGGGGGGGGGCTGGCTGTCAGTGCCTTGGAGTTCCACTGTTTTCCCCTCAGACTCAGTTTGGATAGTGAAATGAATTATACAAAAGTAGAGACCAGGATCCTTAAGAAAACACCTAACTAAAATTTGGCAAAATCTTCATAGCTACGGAAAGGGTCAGACGAGGGTTCAAGAGGGACCCAGATGGATTATTGCAGAATGGGGAATTTATAAGTTATCAATGTCATGAATAGATAGTTGACAACAGCATAGTTAGGTCTTACAGGAAAGTCCAAGGTCCCAGCATCAGAGGAAGACAGCAGGGTAGAGGTCCACATGGTAGAAGTCGGCTCTCTTCTTATACATTGCTGAGGGTAGGGTGGTTTCACAGAACAGCCTGCAACCAGACACTCTGATACATAGGGCAGGGGCCAGTGGGAGTGTGGAGCAGGATGTGCACTTATCACTACCCCTTTGATACAAACTCACATCCCAAGTGAGAGATCCTGGCGTCAAGAAGTGTCAGCCAGGAACTCACAGACAATGCCCTGGGTGGGGGTGGGGTGGGGGGAATCTGGTGCTATCTGTGAGAGGAAAAGGTGAAACACGTATGCAATATAGCCTGAACAGGACCTGCATTTACTATAACATTAGTATAGCTATTCCTGTGTGGCCTAACACCCCTAGCACACTAACAGTAACAAGCATACTGTAATGGCTTAGTGGCCTGTGGAATGGAAAGACAACATGGCTAAACTCTGAATGGCACACAGCAAATACTCTTTATCTAACTTACTGCAAAGGCCAGATCTCAAACATATTCCTAGACAGCCCTAGAAGTATTTACAGTGCATATTGAAGGAAGCACATAGGAACCATGAATAGATAAAGATAAAATGACTGTTTTCCTACTGGGCTGGTAAGATTTACATGTCCTTAAAAGAGCATCAATACTGTATAAATTTTATGTAACAGGCAACAATCTAAACCTGTCATTCTTTCTGAAATTTTAAAACTCAATCTTTTGTGTCTGAGGCAATCTTAGTATGTAGCACGGTCCATCTCATTACTGTAGAAAATGCCTACTCTCTGTGTAGACCATAACCAGGTAAGATGACAAATGCCTTTAATCCCACAACTCAAGAGACAGGCAGGCAAATCTCTGTGAGCAGGCTCTACATAATGAATTCTAGGAGAGCCAGAACTACATAGTAACCTGGTATGATTCAGAACTCTCTAGAGCTTCTAGATATTACAAGATTTCAAAGCAATTGAAACTGTTTTTGAAGCAGCTATGCTGAGGCTTGGCCTACAGCACTACCTCAGGACTCTAGTTCTCTCTGATGACAGAGGGCAGGTGAAAGACTCAGACTAGCCTTATAACCTATAATTTTAAATTATAGGCCCATGTCAAACTAAAGTCTCCCAGTACTTTCCCAGAGAACAGGAGAATGTAACAGCCCCTCCTGACCCTAGCCATCTGCATCTACGGAGATAAGGAAATGAACAAGCAAAGACCTCTACTCGGTTGCAGAAGAAAATAACATTGTCTAGCAGTGGATCCAGATGGTCCAATTTCCCCTCCCAAATAACCCCTGATCTTTTGACTAAAGGCGTATAGCCCCGATTCTCAGAGAGACCACAGGATGAGCAAATTGCTTTTCCCACTTTTAACAATGGCCTAGTCTGACCATAGGATGTACTAATCCTTTTCCCACCTTTAACAGTAGCTGAATCTGCACGTATCAAAAAAGATCAGATATCTCCAGTCCTCTGGGACAAAGCTGACCGGACCTAGTGCCCCAAATAGACCCTATATCCGCTCCCATGCTGTCAGACCTGTAACCTTCCTCATCTACCCCTTTAAAAACCTGCGGCTTCTGTAAGTCGCTGATGACTCTAGCCTGAATGCAGAGTTAGCACCAGCGCGCTGGTATGAATAAACCTCTTGTTCATTGCATTGATTATAGCGAAGCAAGCCTAACCCAAGCATGCCATACAGGCACCTCCCTGGCAGGAGGCCACAGAGGGAAGATGCCACAGCCTTAACTCCAGCAACCACTGTTTCCCCCAGAGAAAGGCATGTGCCATTAAAGGACTTGGGCTTTGCCAAAGGAACCTTACCAGTGGATTCAGCTACTGTTTAAAGTTATTTTTACTGAACTGTGTTTGTTTCTCAGTTTCTCTCTTAACCCAACTATCACACAAATAATTGAGAACTGAGCAGTTTTAACTCTCTAAGCTATTTGGTTTCCTCTCAGCATGCATCCAAAAAGCGATGCTTGCACTTCGTAGCTTTCTTTGCTGAGCTCTCCATCCTGGTGGTTTCTGCACATCTGCAAAAGGCTTAATCCCCTACTACCTCTTCTAACTCTTCCTCCCGTGGAAGGCAGGAAGTCCAGCCCCATTCTGTCCCCTGCTCAGTGATTGGCTGTAAGCTGCTTTATTGGCATTTCCGGAAACAATTGGGGAGCAGTGCTTATACAACATTGAAACAGGAGATTCTCAGAACAAGGACTGCAACAAGATGTGGGGGAAGGGGTACAGAAATCAGCATTTGAATTACACAATAACCTTAGGCCTACAAGCTACACCATGGATCAGAACTATAGTACTAATGTTTTCAACTTGGTTAAACTGGCTAGAATCCCAGGGCTAAGGGAAACACTCCTAGAGTAGACAATTCTAGGTTCAGCCCACCTGAGAAAACGTGAAACAAGACAGCAAGGAAGAAGATGGTGTTAACAGATGTGGCAGCTGAAATGGAATGTGTCTAAAGGACTCCAAGGTAAATTTAAACAGAAACATCCTCACACCTGATTCACAGGAGCTCTGGTGGGACTTTCAGAGTTTTTGTCTTACTGATGTAAGTTGAGCACACATACAGGCAGCAGAGAAACCCCCAAATGATGACTCTCTTACCTTCCAGAGGTCTGGGGGTCCTTCTATAAGTTTTGCTTTCCTGTGACAGTATTTTAGGGCCAACTGCAAGCACTCTGTTCCAAATTCCAAGTCATAGTCACTACACTGGGGACAAAGGAAAAAAGAAACAGACATAGGAGAATTAACAAACTGTAATACAATTGAGGAAAAATAAAGCCAAACAAAACAAAAGCCCTTTATTTTACAAACAAGTAAAATATAAAAGGAAGCAATCTGAGAATTAGCAAACTGGTTAATTATCTGCTGATTCTGTTATAGAATAATCCTTCCCGTACCCTAAAAATGAAATAAAACCACAAGCTAATAGGAACATTACCCATCCCTAGAGACCTGGGCTCCCTCGGGTGCCTCAGGCCCCTGATCATAACAGTATTTCTTTCTGATGCTCATACTTGAAAGCAGGGCTGAGGAATTACCACATCCGAATTCTTCATCTAGCAAACACACATCTTTTGTAATATCTAAATCTCTTTCTTCTATTTATAACAGACATTAAAACATCATGGCAACTAGTCATGTTAATATTTGGACTATATCATTTTTTATTGAGGTATCTATTTATTTATTATTTTTATTAATTACGGTTTATTCACTTTGTATCCTCCCTGTACCTCCCTCCCTCCTCCCCTCGCAACCCCAACCTCCCTCTTCCCCATCCATGTCCCTCTCCCAGTCCACTGATAAGGGAGGTCCTCCTCGCTTCCCTCTGATCCTAGTCTATCAGGTCTCATCAGGAGTGGCTGAATAGTAGTCTTCTTCTGTGGCCTGATAAGGCTGCACCCCCCTTGGAGGGAGGTGATCAAAGAGCAGGCCAATCAGTTCCTCTCAGAGACAGTCCCTATCCCCATTACTATGGAAGCCACTTGAACACTTAACTGCCATAGGCTACCTCCGTGCAGGGAATCCAGGCCATCTCCATGAGTGGTCCTTGGCTGGAGTATCAGTTTCAGAAAAGACCCCTGTGCCCAGACTTTTTGGATCTGTTGCTGTACTTGTGGAGCTCCTGTCCTCTTTACTATCTCCCACTTCTTTCATAAGATTCCCTGCACTCTGCCCAAAGTTTGGCTATGAGTCTCAGCATCTGCCTTAAAGCAGTTATATCTTTGTTTTTGAACACAGAAATGGTTGTCTTTCATTGTATAGATAAACATAAATGTCTTAAATTCAGTGAAAGATAAATAACTTTGTAAAATGGCACCATCAAAAATCACTAAGCAATAATATAAATTATGTGTCAGCTACATAAAGGTAAACAATGCATAAATCATGTCCTCAGAGGAACCCCAGTCTAGAGGGCAGCCTGACTCGAGAAAAATAGCAGAATGTTGTCTGCAGTTCTGGAAGTGTATCTACAGAAAACAGACTGGGAAAACATGCAGTTTGATGTGAGGTTATCAAGAAGGGTCTATCAGAGGCCATGGTCTCTGGTCTCCAGCTTAAAGATTAACAGGAAGAGGAGGAACTATCTCATCACAACGAAATTTCATAAAGGTAAAGGCCCAAGGTATTCTTATTCTGCAAGTTTATGTGTATGTGTGCACTTACATGTGAGGATGCTGGGACAGCGGATGTACAGTGGATGACAGGGATCCAAACTTTGTGTGACTAGTACTTTACCCACTTAGCCACCATGGAACAGAAGGAGCAAAGGGGCGCAATAATGAAACAGCATTCACCCCAATTTCCAAAGGTGTTTAGTTTACTGGAAGACTACAAAGTCCTAACTCTGTAGCTTATTAAATTAATGAAGAAAATGTAGACAACCTACAGTCTCTATGCCACCTGAAGAGCCACAGCTTGCATCTTCTATGTTTATGTGCTCTGGTAGATTCTCTGGGAATGCTAAATGAACTATCGAATTACACTTGATAAGTTAACGTGAATTTTGGTAGGCCTCTGCTTTGTATCTTCAACACCTTGTAGTATGCAAGTTGTCTATACAGGAAGAGCTAGCCCACGGTTAAACTTCAATAATGGCAACTTTGACTCCCCCCTGACTCATCACACTACAAGAACCTTCATGCTCCCTAGCCAGCCTTGTAGGGGCTCACAAACTGCACCTGGATGCTGTGCTCCTGGCTATGCCAAAGCTAAGTCTGCGGAAAACACAAAAGTAAATGTAAATATATATGAAGTGTATTCAGGAAACAGAGGCTGGGTGAAACCCAGCTTAGAAAAAAAACAAAAACTTCTGCAACGCTTGACATGGAAACAATCCCCTATATCTGCCTTTGTCTCCCATGCTCCTATGCAGGCAATCATCACTGGCTAGTGTTTATTTCTGTGTGTAACAAGCAACCTTTGCCCAGTAGTAAACATGAAGAAAATCTATGATCAGTTACAATAAAACTTATTCATTACACAGTTGTAGGCAGCAGAGGTACCATCCGTCTAGCTGAGGGCTGCGGGGCTCTGATTCATCTGTTTACTCCAGTGGCCTACACTGGCGGAGACACTGTGCTCAGGAGGGTTTAGGACAATGGTACAAAAGCAAGGCACTGCTTCCAGAGGATGACAGTCTGGCGGGGTGACTCACCTCGCTCACGATGCTTCTAATTAACATGCCTGTGATGTGGCCATTTGGTTTTTGTTTGATTTACTATCTTTTGAACAACAACAATAGCAAAAAACCAAAAACAAAAACCAAACATTATTTCTATTTCCCACCATAATACAAACCCACCTTTTCCACTTCCCATCATTTTGATATTGTGGTTTTGATCTTACTGAGCACGTATATTATGGACTATGCAACCTTCTCTCAGAGATAAAACACATAATGCTAAAATTACTTTGTGAGTAAGTTTGTTTCCTTTGTAATTAAAGCTTGTCTTTTGTTTTATGTGGTTAGCTTTCTATGTGCGTGTAACTCCTGTAACACTGCACACTTGGATACTCGCCCACATCTGCCTGTAAGATAAGCTAGACTCATTTAAAGTCACCCGTGTCATCTTCCAGTCATTCCTGCAGGGGCCACTGTGCTCTTGGCCGGTTCCATAGGTGGTGTTCTCAGATCACCACAGGCCATCTCAGGGACACTTATTCAACCCAACCCCATGTATGCCATGCAGCCTTCTTTCATAACTGACCCGTTTTCCCAAAACAAAGTCTTTAACAACTTCCTATGGAGAGATTGTGTAGAGATATCTGAGCTTAGTATGTTTTTAAACAGGACAAATTGCCCAAACAAAACCATTCCACAGACAAAATGAAGAGCCACTGAGGTGCGAGCTGCTGGGATGGGGTGCAGAGACTTCCTCAGTCAGCAAGCAGTGTGCACAGGTTCTGCTTGTCACGGGAAAGTACCTCCGCCCTCCACTGCAGCCTATGTTCTCCTCATCACGCTCCTTCCTGAGCTGACTTCTTTATAAACTCCTTTTAATAAACATGCGCTTTTCTCTCTTTCCTCAGCTCTTAACCTTACAGGGCTCTTTGCTTGCCACCATAGGCTGGGACTTCTGTCCTTTTATATCTGCTGAGTTCCTGTTACTAATTCACCTGCTTTCCAGTTAACCTTCTTTTGCTATTGGCTCTGCTCCTATTCTTGATCTCAAGGACTTTTGATAGGTTTCACTCTTTTTTATTTCTTTCAATGATGTTTAAGTAGTGAGCAAAATGAGATAAATGTCCAGTCTGCTTTCAGTAACTAGAAACAGAAAATATATGCACGCTGGCTGCACACATATTCCAAATTATCTTCTCCAAAGATGGCATTCACTCATGTCCCTAAAAATAGTATGCAATTGTAGCAGGGTTTTGTTTGTTTGTTTGTTTGTTTGTTTGTTTTTTAACAAACAGTAAAACGGACTCGGAACCTCAAAAAAAAAAGTACTATGTATAATCTGATTATTTTTCTGAAAAAGGAAGGATTCCTTAATTTTCAGAGCTTTTATACCCCCACAAAAGGTTAGAAACTATTGTTTTATACTAATCATGTAATGGTCCATGGCTACAAATAATCTGATTATACATCCTTCCATCCGTGACAGCATTTTTGTAGTAGACTAGCCAAGGAAGATTGCCCAACAGAGAACAATATATATATTAGAGTAAAGCTAAATCAAAGGCATGCATGCACAGGTTTCTCAGTCTGTCGCTGGAGGAACAGGCATACAATATTCAAGTATTAACAAAATAGACCAGTTTGCAATTAGGTAAACAATGAACACCTGCATTCAATTTATCATCTCAAAATCAAACCCGAAGCATTTTGCATACATCTACATTACTTGAATTATGCAATGTTCCTTAGAGTTTGCATGAGACAGTTATCCAAGAAGCTTTGTTCTTGTATTCTATCAGATCATCTTCTCAGTAAACAACCTCAGACTGTGTCCATATGAGGGATACAGAAACACCCCTTACTCTTATAGTAAGGGGAGCAGGGGTTGTCTCTGACTTGGACTCTGTTGCCTGCTCTTTGATCAGTTCCCCCTGGTGGGGGCCCTTGCCAGGCTACAGAGGAAGAGGATGCAGGCAGTCCTGATGAGACTCAATAGACTCATTATTGAGTCTATTGGGGTCAGATGGTAGGGGAGGAGGGCTCCCCATATATGAGGACCAGGAGAAGTGGATGGGGGAAGTGGGAGGGAGGGTGAGACCCAAAAGAGACAAGGGAGGAGGCTACAATCAAGATGTAAAGTTAATAAATTATTAAAAATGAATTTAAATTTAAAAAAGAAATAAAAGCACAAATGGTATAGATAATAAACACAAGATTTCTCTTTGAGTAGGAATTTTTAAATGAGTTTACAAAGAATGCATTTCCAAAGGCCTTCAAATACCTATCATAAAAAAAGTACATTCATATTATTCCCAATCTTGGCAAGCCTACAGAACCAACATACGTTATGAATGACAATCCCTTCCATGGCTGTCAATTCAGAGATGCAGAGGTTTTTAATTCTTTAATGTGTGGCTACAGCTTATTAGCACAAAGCCATAGTGTGAGAGACAGCCTTACTGGTAACACTGAAATTGCATTTTTAGCCCTTTCTATTGATTTTCACAATCAAATACTGTCAAAACTATAAAAAGTAAAAATATCAGTGGAATGTTTGACTCATATTTATCTTATTGAGAAA